ATCTTTTTTGTAACCAATTCATTTGGCTTCATTGTTGCTATTGATATTCCAAGTCCAAGCCAAGCTTATTAGCTTATTCATTCGTTCTACATGTTTCTTCATATCGTATGCGTTCTTCTTGTCAGTGTGGCAACTGTTTTCTTGATAAAATTACTAACACTAACATCTTAAGTTGCTCAATTATTTGACAACCATACATGAACGGGAAGTAATAAAATGTTTCATGTATGAACTGCAAAGTAAAGATATCTAAGATTTTGTACAACAAAATGAAAGCACTGTGATCCTGATTGACGTCGAGAGCCCAGCAAGACATGTTCTTTGATATCCGTGATAAATATCTCAGTATCACACAAGTAATGCGCGTTCGCATACTTCAACAAAAGATCCAAAATATATCAGTCGAGATAAAATAGTGGTTAAAGTTGCACGCAGTTTTTTTCTGGTTTTAGCAACAAGATATCTCAATTACTAGAATAATTGTTCGTGCCTACTGAACACATGAACGTAAACAGCGTTTATTAAGCTAATCAAAATATGGTGATTACTTTAATAGTCGCGATCGAACAGCGCGATGCATTGGCAAGGAGTGTCCAGCCCGCTCGACCACTGACAAAAAGTAAAGATTGACTCAACACTCAACCGCTAATGAATTCATAATCATGAAAGGAAGGTAGATTGGTTGCGGAGATTAGTAGCTAAAAATAAGAAAACCAGTTCTACTTGAGCTCATTATTGTAGAGTGATCGTGTACCGGACACTGTGCACTGTACAGTGTACAGCTTCGATGCTGCCACATACTGGGCTGAATCCTTGGAGTTTGTATATCACTTATTTAGGCCGATAGCATACAATAATGTTCAGTAAACTAAAGAGACCATTGCATGATGTGCTTGTGTTCCCTGATCCTTATCAATCTAACTGAATAAAGTGATTCAGTTGTTACAAGCCGATCAAGTTACTTAGAGGCCATAAACAATAGTTATTAGAGCAACTAGTAAGAAAAGTGACACTTTTCAAAACGTAATTATATTTGCACGAAATATAAATGTTTTAGTCTATCGACGTAAAATAAAACTTTGGACATAAATCATATTTCGTATACAGTTTTTGGTATTTTGCAAATAATAAATATTTTATGTGCTCAGCAACCACACCTACACAACATTGAGGCAAAAGTTTAAAAGTAGACTTCTTTTTATTCTGTGATTTAGGATGTTCGTTGGCTTAACTGCATTAGTTAACCGATGACATTGCGAACTTCAGAATTTGGCAGATTAAAAATACTCACCATTTGCATACTATTAAAAATCTAAACTCAAAATAAGTTGTTTATGTACTGTATCTATAACATTTTAATTGTAAGAGTCAATGTTATTCACGTACCATACCCTGTCGATTATCATTCAATTAAAACGAAACTAACCAGAATTTTCTTTTGTTTGATTATCAATCGGATTGAGGAAATCAGTTGTCAAAGTTGAAGTAGTACCATAAACAAATTGAATTAAATATAGACCGACAGCACTGCTGCGATTAGCATAAGTTCTAGCGTCCACCGCTAGGAGTACCGTATAGTTACTTAGCGCGTAACTATTTTAAAATGATAAGTTAATAAAAAATTTAATATTTGTGAATTAAATTTCATTAAAGTATCACTTGCAATTGGCTCGTTGTGGTATAAAACATTTATTAGCAAGCCATTCACAAGTATTCTCATGGATAGAGTGATGCTACGACTGTGTAAATCAAAAATAATAATTCCAGGGTTGTGAGAGAGATTTATACAACTAGAGCCTTTATAACATCACTTTTGTGAGAAGGAATTGTCCCCTAGCCATAATACTTTACCTACTTAAATTTATGCGGGGAAAATATTGCAAAACAATTTAAAATCTGTCCAAACACGTACTTACAACACAAATGACCATGTGTGTGGAATGTATGTGCCAAGTCTCAGTCATTTCAAATTATGTGTTATTTCTAAAGGGATAATTTCCTATATTTTTAACGTGCAAACTGAACGCGTGATATAACGTTGTCCAACTTCGACATCGTCCCGCGTGATATATGCGTGCACTCATTTTTCATATACTGTATCGTTTTGTATGTATATTTATCTCGTAAACTAGTTTTTTCTTATTTATCTTTTTCTTGTATACAAAATTCTGTGTACAATATATATTATTTTCCTTTTTAAATGTACCCTAGCCTAAATTTATTGTTTTATTGTGCGGATGATGGACTCAATCCCCAACCACAGGCAAATAGCCCATTTGGGGATTATATTTCATAAATCGTTTTTGTACCATTGAACTGATGTACTGTAGTACTGAAATAATAAAGATTTCATTCATTCATTCATACATTCAAATACTAACTACAATCACAAAATGAGGTAAAACCTACAGAGTGTGTATTGTTTCGATTTAGCACATGGCATTCGTTAGGAAATTATTGTTAGGAAGCTATTAAAAAAATAATACTGAATAGAAACACTGACTTATCGAAAAGTATGACAGTGGTATGAGCGATAAGAGCTTGATAAGCGCGAGGCGATAAGAGCTGACAAGTTAAGATTGATAAGTCCCCGGGGAGCGGGACACGTCTGGAAACAGCCGCAGTTGCCTAGAATTAGCAAACATCAACTAACTCATTAATGTTTGGTGTATACGTTTGATGGTAAACATTTACGTTTCTATTCTATACATCCTTCATTCTCATAATACTCTCAGTTTGAATTTCAATAAATTCAACTGAACCATCTGCAAGTAAAGAAAATACAAGGTTATATTAATCTCATCCCCAATCACAGATAAAATAACAATTCAAGGCAATTGTGGCTAAACAAAGGTTAAAGAGATAAAGTATGATTCCATCGCAGGTTACTGTACACAACTGTACCTTTCCAAATCATGTGACTGGGTGTTGATGGTGATGACGGGTGGCACATGGACGGTGGACGCGGCGCGACGCTGACGGAGGAAACACTCTACAACACGTTACACAAGTTATGGTTAGGTGTCGGCCACTGGAGGAGTGGGGCCAAAAGCACCAACGAGGGCCGCCTACTTTCTAGTGGTTAGTTCTGCTAGAGTGGAGGCCGCCATCTTGCGTCCACCTTTGTTTCTTCACTTTGCGTTTCCGTCTTGTCTTCGATTCGATCGATGACTCGTTGATTTTTTAATTGCGACAGTAAAAAGTGTGCGGATGAAATCGCTCGTTTCGAGTTGATTCGCCCGCGTCCGGCGCCGTCGACTGCGGCTCCGCTGAGCCTAATCCGCGGCCAATCGGATCTGTAAAAACTGTCACAGTAGCTAGTCGACTTAAATAGCAATCGGCCTCCGTAGATTCAGCTTAATTAGCCAAGCGATAGTAGCGAGTAATTCACTTTCTAGTTTCTACCAAGGAAAAAAAATCATCAAACGACAAGCACTTAAACCCGAGGTGTAAACAATGAAACGAATTTGAGAAGGGAGTTTCAATCGTTCCAACGACTAACTCGCATCATGTGCAAATCTAAAAATACCCCCGCCGCAGCAAACCTGCAGACTAAGCGAATTTCCATTTGACTGATTGGATTTACACTGAAATGTCTACTTAAAAATATAACATTTATTCTTGATTTAAATAGAATAAGTTTAACAAGTACTTAGGTTTGCTGCATCAGGGAGGGTAAAACTGATTTTTTTGTAAAATGTGAATAGTTAGTAAGAAATAAAAACATTTTCCAAATTTGATCAAAATATGTTCACAAACAAGCAAACTACAACAGTTTACTTATTCTCCATAAGAATAACATGGGAATTTTAAATTTACAATTTTTTGGAATTTTCTCCGTAACCATTAGGCGCATAATAACGCTTCAATATACTAAATTATTTGTTTTTTTTAAGCTCTACAAAATGGTTTGGAAAGAAATTGCTAAATTTTATGTTTTTTGGGTCAAAAATTAGAAAAACCGATTTTTACCCCATAAAACCCCCCGTAAACCCCCGTTCCCATGGTCCGATCATGCTGGATTGCGAACTCGTTCGAATAAACGTACTTTTACACGTTTGTACCAATTTTCATCAAAATCGGATCATTTTTGCTCGAGTTATCGTGCTGACGGACACATATATATATATATATATAAATATATAAATATATATATATATATATATATATATGAATTTGAACGGATGGTGTTTTTCGCCTCTAGGGACCTCAAAACGAAAAAAAAATCGGTCCCGCGTCCAGGTCTTACCATGAGTACTACGGTAATAGCTTATTCCCTATATGGGAAATTCGCTAAAATAAAAAATAAAAGGAAACCCCCAAGTCAGACAAACAAGTTAGTTCGTTATTGTGGTCCGCGACCACATAGTTCCTGGGAAATGGTAGGCCCTATATTGGACTATGGTACATTGGATATTCTTTAACTACAATTTAAAAAGCTATTCGGGTATGAACTGGTTTCATTATTAGCAGTATTTGTCCACTGTCTAGGGGGGTCTTCCAGCGTAGAGTACCAACATGAGTCATGACGTAACATGCAATGGCATTGAGTCCGTGCGATAGAGATCTGCTCATCTGCTTCTTGCATAATGCCACCTCCACTTTCCCTCTCGCAACAACAACAATTGTTCATTAATTCTGTTCCAGCGCGTTCATAAACAGAGCGCCGAAACCGTGCCAGTAAGAGTGAAGATGAGGCCGCGATAGTCGACACATCCGCGAGCCCTGGCGCAATACGCAATTATTGCAGCCTAGCTTAGCTACAGTAGCCTGTGGCCAGTGCACCACTAGAAACTCTGGCCATCGACTAAGGCGGGTTACACACCGTAATATGAGTGCTATATCGTCAAAATCCGTATGGTACTTGCAAACGTAGCAAACTAAACGTCACGTCGATGGCGATCTTAAAAAAAGTACATCAAGGACATTCCCTCAATACCTCAATACCTTGATCTTTGTAGTGACAAAAGTGCATATATTATAAGATTGTTGCGACTTACCGTCGTGCAGGTAGTTGGCGGCAGGCGCCGGGGTGGCCGGGGAAGGTTTCTCGGAGGCGGGGGTGCGAGGATTGGCAGTGGCGGTAGCGGTGCTGTTGTTGTTGTTGTAGTTGCCAAGAAAGTCACTGAGATCAGGCACACATACACTGTCGACATTGTACAGCGAAGACTCCTTCTCCGCGTCCGCATCTGCAATAAAAGTCACCCAACCTATCAGCAATGTTGAACCAACCCTACTGTAGTTAGGTCAAGTCACATATTCAATTCAAATTATTGACCAATCAACATTGAGCAACCCTCATTGATGTGGTTACCGCTGGTTGCTCCGAACATAAAAATAAAGGGACGATTCCTTGTTCATACGTATCTTGACCCATCAACATTGAGCAACCCTCATTGATGTGGTTACCGCTGGTTGCTCCGAACATAAAAATAAAGGGACGATTCCTTGTTCATACGTATCTTGACCCATCAACATTGAGCAACCCTCATTGATGTGGTTACCGCTGGTTGCTCCGAACATAAAAATAAAGGGACGATTCCTTGTTCATACGTATCTTGACTCATCAACATTGAGCAACCCTCGTTGATGTGGTTACCGCTAGTTGCTCCGAACATAAAAATAAAGGGACGATTCCTTGTTCATACGTATCTTGACCCATAAACATTGAGCAACACTCGTTGATGTGGTTACCGCTGGTTGCTCCGAACATAAAAATAAAGGGACGATTCCTTGTTCATACGTATCTTGACCCATCAACATTGAGCAACTCTCATTGATGTGGTTACCGCTGGTTGCTCCGAACATAAAAATAAAGGGACGATTCCTTGTTCATACGTATCTTGACTCATCAACATTGAGCAACCCTCATTGATGTGGTTACCGCTGGTTGCTCCGAACATAAAAATAAAGGGACGATTCCTTGTTCATACGTATCTTGACCCATCAACATTGAGCAACCCTCGTTGATGTGGTTACCGCTAGTTGCTCCGAACATAAAAATAAAGGGGAGATTCCTTGTTCATACGTATCTTGACCCATCAACATTGAGCAACACTCGTTGATGTGGTTACCGCTGGTTGCTCCGAACATAAAAATAAAGGGACGATTCCTTGTTCATACGTATCTTGACCCATCAACATTGAGCAACCCTCATTGATGTGGTTACCGCTGGTTGCTCCGAACATAAAAATAAGGGGACGATTCCTTGTTCATACGTATCTTGACTCATCAACGTTGAGCAACCCTCGTTGATGTGGTTACCGCTAGTTGCTCCGAACATAAAAATAAAGGGACGATTCCTTGTTCATACGTATCTTGACTCATCAACATTGAGCAACCCTCGTTGATGTGGTTACCGCTAGTTGCTCCGAACATAAAAATAAAGGGACGATTCCTTGTTCATACGTATCTTGACCCATCAACATTGAGCAACCCTCGTTGATGTGGTTACCGCTAGTTGCTCCGAACATAAAAATAAAGGGACGATTCCTTGTTCATACGTATCTTGACTCATCAACGTTGAGCAACCCTCGTTGATGTGGTTACCGCTAGTTGCTCCGAACATAAAAATAAAGGGACGATTCCTTGTTCATACGTATCTTGACTCATCAACGTTGAGCAACCCTCGTTGATGTGGTTACCGCTAGTTGCTCCGAACATAAAAATAAAGGGACGATTCCTTGTTCATACGTATCTTGACTCATCAACGTTGAGCAACCCTCGTTGATGTGGTTACCGCTAGTTGCTCCGAACATAAAAATAAAGGGACGATTCCTTGTTCATACGTATCTTGACCCATCAACATTGAGCAACCCTCGTTGATGTGGTTACCGCTAGTTGCTCCGAACATAAAAATAAAGGGACGATTCCTTGTTCATACGTATCTTGACCCATCAACATTGAGCAACCCTCGTTGATGTGGTTACCGCTAGTTGCTCCGAACATAAAAATAAAGGGACGATTCCTTGTTCATACGTATCTTGACCCATCAACATTGAGCAACCCTCGTTGATGTGGTTACCGCTAGTTGCTCCGAACATAAAAATAAAGGGACGATTCCTTGTTCATACGTATCTTGACTCATCAACATTGAGCAACCCTCGTTGATGTGGTTACCGCTAGTTGCTCCGAACATAAAAATAAAGGGACGATTCCTTGTTCATACGTATCTTGACCCATCAACATTGAGCAACCCTCGTTGATGTGGTTACCGCTAGTTGCTCCGAACATAAAAATAAAGGGACGATTCCTTGTTCATACGTATCTTGACCCATCAACATTGAGCAACCCTCGTTGATGTGGTTACCGCTAGTTGCTCCGAACATAAAAATAAAGGGACGATTCCTTGTTCATACGTATCTTGACTCATCAACATTGAGCAACACTCGTTGATGTGGTTACCGCTGGTTGCTCCGAACATAAAAATAAAGGGACGATTCCTTGTTCATACGTATCTTGACTCATCAACATTGAGCAACCCTCGTTGATGTGGTTACCGCTAGTTGCTCCGAACATAAAAATAAAGAGAGTATTCCTTGTTCATAAGTATCTGCAAGTTCGAATTATTCAACTACCAACAAAAGTCAAAAACATCCAATATGGGAGTGTTCGGGTTATGATTTACGACACAACCGACATAATCTGCAAAAAGTATTCCTTTAGACTCAAAAGCATAAATATTACTATTCTCCTTGAGTGCAGCGATTGTATTCAGCGCATTGCAGAAACACTCGGCGTTGGGGTGGATGTGTTTGTGGTACGTGTGTTGTCGCGGGTGCGGGAGTCCAGTGGTGTATTGTCGCAGTGAGGATATCCTGGTATGTGTTGTGTATCTGCCGGACATCCCTGTGTACAGGTACAGTATATAGAGTGATCTAGTAGTGTCACCGTCGTAGACTGACCACTACACCACCGCACATGTAAGTATGTTGGTTACGATACACGAAGGACAAAACGAAACAATGCAAATCGACTTGGCTTTATAGGGATTAATTAACTGTTGTTATAATGAGATTATATTATTTTATCACAGCAAGTACGTATTTCACTACTACCCAATATCTGGGATACGTAAATAATTACTTAATACCAGGTAGGAAGTGAGTGTTATCTGGATTGCACCGAACAATGAACTTCATAATTAGGCTGCATATCATAACAATTATAAAAAAATTGTAATAAGTGTATTTGACAACCAAAGTTTTGCTCAAATAATGAGTTTCTATTACATATTCATTGGTAAATACCAAAGTAGTCTTTTATGCTAGTAATCTACTTATAAAGCTGTGAAATACCACGTATAATAACAAGAAAATCTCGCAGAACGTTAAGTTCCAAATGGATTGGTAATTAACTGTCACTGCCTTTGTTAGAGATTCCGTCATACAATAAATGGTCTGAGCTGTTTGCGAGCGCGGGGTTGTAGTTCTAGTACAACACTTACTACCAACACAATCACCTGCATCTACACTCGCAGCGAGGCTAAGCATTTGACAAAGGCACTATGAGCATTAAAATGTCATTTATATTAAACAATAAAAATATGTATTAAAATTAAATTTCCGCTAAATCAAACAAACCATCCCGGGATGTTAAAATGATGTTTTTAATGTTCATACTTGAATGCTTTGTGCAGCTGCGCGGAAGATAGTTGCCTAGTGAGCAAAACTGTAGTCACTGGATAAATAAATTCATCATAATAATATACATAACAATCATGATCGACTTATACAGCGCCTAAAATTCAGTCCTTGTAAGACGATTGAAACACCTGCTCAAATAAATTCATCATAATGATATACATAACAATCATGATCAACTTATACAGCGTCTAAAATTCAGTCCTTGTAAGACGATTGCTCAAATAAATTCATCATAATGATATACATAACAATCATGATCGACTTATACAGCGCCTAAAATTCAGTCCTTGTAAGACGATTGCTTAAATAAATTCATCATAATGATATACATAACAATCATGATCAACTTATACAGCGTCTAAAATTCAGTCCTTGTAAGACGATTGCTTATATAAATTCATCATAATGATATACATAACAATCATGATCGACTTATACAGCGCCTAAAATTCAGTCCTTGTAAGACGATTGCTTATATAAATTCATCATAATGATATACATAACAATCATGATCAACTTATACAGCGTCTAAAATTCAGTCCTTGTAAGACGATTGCTTATATAAATTCATCATAATGATATACATAACAATCATGATCGACTTATACAGCGCCTAAAATTCAGTCCTTGTAAGACGATTGCTTAAATAAATTCATCATAATGATATACATAACAATCATGATCGACTTATACAGCGTCTAAAATTCAGTCCTTGTAAGACGATTGCTTAAATAAATTCATCATAATGATATACATAACAATCATGATCAACTTATACAGCGTCTAAAATTCAGTCCTTGTAAGACGATTGCTTATATAAATTCATCATAATGATATACATAACAATCATGATCGACTTATACAGCGCCTAAAATTCAGTCCTTGTAAGACGATTGCTTAAATAAATTCATCATAATGATATACATAACAATCATGATCGACTTATACAGCGCCTAAAATTCCGTCCTTGTAAGACGATTGCTTATATAAATTCATCATAATGATATACATAACAATCATGATCGACTTATACAGCGCCTAAAATTCAGTCCTTGTAAGACGATTGCTTAAATAAATTCATCATAATGATATACATAACAATCATGATCGACTTATACAGCGCCTAAAATTCAGTCCTTGTAAGACGATTGCTTAAATAAATTCATCATAATGATATACATAACAATCATGATCGACTTATACAGCGCCTAAAATTCAGTCCTTGTAAGACGATTGCTTAAATAAATTCATCATAATGATATACATAACAATCATGATCGACTTATACAGCGTCTAAAATTCAGTCCTTGTAAGACGATTGAAACACCTGCTCAAATAAATTCACCGATTGAGGTTATTTATAGGATTAAAACTATCTCCAAAGTAAACCCCCAAGAAAGAAGCATGTTAATCCGTAACTTATAATCCTGAACGTATGCGAAATTGGAAAAAACAATGCTAACAACTCTACTATAATAATTATTGTGCAAGTTAATAAGTATTTTACTTTCATAAATTGATCAAACAGTTTTATCTGACACATA